CAACAAAAAAGATAACATAGCATGCAAACCGAACGACAAAAAAGCAAAACATGATAGGAGGTGTACCCCTACTTTAATTCAAATAAATTACGAAATGAACATATCTCTCGCATGCGATAAAAAATCGAAATAAATTCTTAAAAATCACGCAGCAGGTAGATGGTGGAAACAAAAGAAAAAAAACTGATGATAAAAGCAAAAATAATATTGAATTGGAATGTAATATAAAAATAAAGAAAAGTAAAAGTGATGACGTCAATTAAATAGATTAAATAACCAATAAAATACCTAACCCCCTCCCCCAGCTAAGCTAACTGACGCATCATTTTATGTTTAATTGTTTGTTGTAAAATTAAAAATATCACACTCTGTCAATTGGCTTTTTTTACCAGAGATTAAAACAAGAACAAATCTAGGCGGAGGGGATTGCGTGGAATAAGGGAAACCTTTAAAGGTATTACATGTCTTACAACAACAACGAATGTGATTATTTTGCAAATTTCCAGGAATTTTGTAATCGTATCTAGTGGTAATATTGGATATTTTTAAATTTCTTAGTATTACAACATGTGTTTTACTGAAAAAATCCTAATCACTTAAAAAAACATTTTTAACATACAGAAAAAATTCTTCAGAATAATCCTTTCAATATTGAAAAAAATCTCAGCCTTTGGACAACAATTTTGAAATTTAGAAAATAAATTTTGAAATTTTTCTATATAGAAAATATATATCCTCAGTAAGCGGAGCTTTTATTCCTTTGTAGACAAAATTATTTTCCTTTTTTCCTGTATACAAAAAAAATACTCACCTCAAAAATACTTTCTCTAACGAAAATAAGGTGTACATTCCACTGTCTGTAGAGGTAGCGCCATCTATGCGCCATTTTTTATATTAAAATTTAATAGCATACTTTTAAGCGTGGAAAATATTTTGTAGCGGAAAAAAATATATAAGTCTTGAAAAAAATTTGAAATTGAAAAAAAATAAATTTGGAAATTTTCTATATAGGAAACATATTTTAGCTGAGCCTCCATTCCTTTATAGATAAAATTATTCTCTTTTTTTCGTATTAAAAAAAATACTCACCTCTTTTTCCCCTAACGAAAATAAGGTGTACATTCCACTGTCTGCAGAGTGAGCTCCATCTATGCGCCATTTTTTCATATTAATATTTAATAACATACTTTTAAGCGTAAAAAATATTTTGTAGCGGAAAAAAATTCTCATGATAATACGAGCCTTTGAAAACAAAATGTTGAAATTGAGGAAATAAATTTTGAAATCTTATTCATATAAATATTTTATAGCATACTTTTAATTTTGAGCAAATTTGACCATTAGAAACGAATCGTTGTACTCACTCTTTTAGTGATTATCCAACATTTTCATGAATAATTTCCATTACCTTGGTTAAATATGAATTGAGTTTTATTAAAGAAAAAGTTAGCTGAATCGATATTTTCTATAATATTAGCAGCTGATTTGCTGAATTTTAGGTAGAAAACAACTTGTGTTTTTATATATCAACAAATTGTTACATTATTTTTACATAATAAAAACATTTTCTCAACATAATCTGAAAAACAATTCGTTTCATGAATCTCGAATTTACGTATAAAAAAGCTGTCTAAATTTCATTTATCTACAGAAAATTTCTTGCTGAATTGCATTTTTCTATACAAACAAAATAGCAGAATTGTATATTTTGAAAGAAAAACTTTGCTGAATTGAGTTTTTTATTGAAACCCTTGGCTGAATTAAATTTTTTGAGAACAACATATCTGACTTATATTTTTCAAATATAATCTTTGCTGAATTGCATTTTTCCTACAGAAAATCTTGTCGAATTGCATTTTCTCTATAGATAAGCTTGCTTAATTGAGTTTTTCTATAGAAAACCCTTTGCTGTATTGCAAATTTATAACATTAAAACATGTCGGAATATCACTTTTCTGCAAACATAATCACGGAATCACACGTATTATATAGAAAAATGTTGCTGAATTGCATTTATTTGAAACTCCTTGTTGAATTGTAATTACCGGGTTCTGTATGACGCGTATATAAGGATACTCTCCGATTTTCGATATTTTGAAAGATTTACACACGATTTATAATCAAACAAGATTACATAAATGCATTGATTAGGTGGCAGATTTGGAGGTTGATATTTGCGGGATTTTGAGATCTGTTTAGTATTTTTATTCTCTGTTTAGTATTTATATTTATTTTTATCCACATATTAAAATTAATTCTCAGTACTTTATAGGATTATTTACTTTACGAAAAAAAATCAATCCTGCGTTATTAATTTTTTCCTAGAAATGAAATGACTCATATAAAAATATTAGACACAATAGTATTCTTAATAACCGGCATTCAATATGCAGCCATCCGCCCACCCAACATGTATTTCACACTATTTGTTGGGGGTGGTATAGGTGCTGTGAACCATCATCAGAGACAGTGAAATAAAAACTGGATCACATGCACTGTACCCAAGCACGAGTTTTATGTTTCTCCTCTACACTCATTTCCGTTTGATTGTCATGTGCATGTCTTTTTTAAATATTATTTTTGTTTTGTTATTTTGCAAAATAGCAAAACTTGCATAAGACGGCGGACGTTGTGGAGCTCACTCACTCGTAGTGTCTTTATGTGTTTGTCATTTTCTCCAAAAAGCAAGCAATATGCAAAAAAGAAAAAAAACGAAAATAAAAACAAAGAAGCAGTTCAAAATTTCAATAAAGATGAAGAAGAATCCCATAAAAAGTAGCGATGACCACCAAGTCTTCAAACATTGACACACAGTGTAAAGAAAATAAAATGTGCCTTTTTTCAATATTCAAAATAGATAAGCGAAATCATCCCCTTGGTTCTCCTCTCCCACTTAGCCGCCGCTAGTCATGGAAGTGATTAGACACTTTGAAAGACATGTGACTTTTGTTGTTGAATGATTGACAACAAATGTGTGGGACAATTTGTATTTTATTATGAAGGGGCATGAATAAGGGCCAAAAAATGTATTCAGTACCAGAGAAAGATTGAGATTTTTTTATGGAATTGGATTTTTTTCTATGAAAAAAAATTGTCACTTCTCCAGATAAATAATTTATAATCTCTTGGAAAAAAAATCTCTTTTATTTAGAATTAATTTTTTTGCTCTAAAAAATCCTCTGTTCCTGAGAATTAATTTTATTCTATAGAAAAAAATCCCCAGGGTCTGAAGATTATAGAAACAATTCCTCAGTCGCTTCTGATTGATTTTTTATTAGGAAAAAAGCTTACTTTTTAATAAAAAGAAAACAGTTCCCCACCTGCTGAGGATTGATTTTTTTCTATGGAAAAAAATCCTCAGTTCCCGAGGATAGATTTTTTTCTATGGAAAAAAGTTGTCAGTTTCCGAGAGTTGATTTTTTATAGAAAAAAATCTCAGTTTCCGCGGGTTGATTTTATTTTTCTATGGAAAAATTCCATAGTTATTGAGGATTAATTTTTGCTATAGAAAAAAATCCTCGGTTCCTTATGGTTGATTTTTTTTTTCTATAGAAAAAATCCTCAGTTCCTGAGGATTGATTTTATTTATATAAAAAATTACTTATTTCGTCAGATCCTTAGGATTGATTTTTTTCTATAGAAAAAAATCCTATAAAATTCTATAAAAAATGACTGATTTTTTTCTATGGAAAAAATTCCTCAGTTCCTGAGAATTTATTTTTCTATAGAAAAATCCTCAGTATCCGAGGATTGATTTTTTTCTATGGAAAGAATTCCTCAATTTCTGAGGATTACTCGAATTGATTTTTTATTAGAAAAAAACTTATAGATAAAATTTCCCCCTGATTTTTTGTATAGAAAAATCCTCAGGTCCCGAGGATAGATTTTTTTCTATAGAAAAAAATTCCTCAGTTGCCGAGTATTTATTTTTTTTCTATGGAAAAAATTCCTCAGTTCTTGAGGATTGATTTTTTATAGAAAAACTTCCTCAGTTTTTAATAGAAAAAAATTCCCCACAAAAAAAAAAAAACAGAAAAGAACAAAAATTCCTCAGTTCCTGAGAATTGAGAATTTGAGAAAAATGCATCAGTTCCTGAGTTTTTGTATGCGAAGTTTTGTTAATATCGGGTCAGATTTAGATATAGCTCTCATATATAGGTTCGTCCGATTTTATGTAAATGGAGCACCAAAGAGTCAAATTGAGACCGATTGGCACAAAATTTTGCACAGGAATTGCTTCAGATTTATAGTACGTTTACATTTAACCGGATTTCGTTATCCCAGTGGGTTTCAATTGTGAATTCCTTTGCATATATGTCAAATAAATCCTCAAGAAGTAGGTTAACCGGTAAAAAGTTCTAATATATATGCCGTTTTAGATTGTACAAAGATTTATTTCTTCTACAAAAGAATTCCTAATTTTCGTAGGTTTGGCTTTTTTAATATTCCCAAATTTTGTATTTTTTCCATTAGAAAAAATTCAATATTTAATTGTTAATGTCTTAATGATAAATATTTGTTGTTGTTGGCAACAATACAAACAAATTTTGAAACCTGTCCCGCACTAGCCAATTGACCAATGTTATTGTCGCACTGCTGCTGTTGCTGCTGGACACACACACACAGCGAGTCATTAACAACAGCCATGAAGCTCACTTGCACATAAGCGTGACAATTGTTAACTTTCTAATATTATTTGTTGTTTTTGTTTAGTTGTTGTTATTTTGACTGGCCATTTGGTGGCCAAGCATGCATGCAATCAATAATAAAGTCAAAACAAATGAAATGTTAACAAAACCAAATACCTTGCATTAGGGTGGAATGTAAAGACCAAAGACAAGTTACTGACATTTAAATTTCAATGCAATTAATTTGCATGTTATTTGCTGCTTCTTCTTATTATTATTTATGGATTATTAAAATGAGCAATTTTTATTTTATGCATTAAATCATTCAATTCATATTTACTTATGCGTTTTATTTCTCCTCTCTCATTATAGCTAAATGTCCGTGTTACCACTATGGATGCCGAGCTGGAATTTGCCATCCAGCAAACAACAACCGGCAAACAGCTATTCGATCAAGTTGTCAAAACAATCGGTCTACGTGAAGTTTGGTTCTTTGGTCTACAATATACCGATTCCAAGGGTGATTCAACATGGATTAAACTATACAAAAAGGTATGTATCATCATGTGTAATTTGGAATTCACAGATTATTCTTATAATAAAAATATTGTTTTTTATCTAATTTAAGTTTAGGTATAAGTTATGAAAGTTTTAGTCTGAAAAGAAATTGATTGAAAATAATTATTTGCAAAGGATTTGGAATATCTATGAATTTAAACAATACATTGAATGATATATGACTGAGTATATTCGATGGATAATCTTGAATCACAACTTCCCCAACTTTCGGTTGAGGATTGAATGATTAACACATGTTTTTTCAAAAAGTAAATGGATCTTCCACTAAATGGCACCTTCCAAAAAATACCCTTTGAACTTATTGTTCATAATCAGCGCCATCTATTGATTAGTTATATTGAGAACTATAAATTGATGAGCATACTTTTAGGGAGACTACTACTACTTGCCAAATTAGATATTTGGAAGGATGTTCTAAAAACTAAAGATACTTTCTTAAAATACCATTGGAAAATTTTCCCACTTATTGTTTATACCCTTCACCACACTGTAGTACAGGGTATTATGTCTTTGTGCATATGTTTGTAACAGGCAAAAGGAACGAGATAGACCCATGGTTCCTTTTGAGAAAATACATAGAATCACTTTCTGAGTCGATCCATGTATTTTTGTGAAAAAAGTACATGTCGCATTCATGATCCAATTTTGATGAAATTTGGCACATGCCACTTATTTGGCCCAAGGACGAACCCTATTGAAATTGGAGAAAATCGGTTCAGATTTAGATATAGCTCTCATATATAGTTTCGTCCGATGTTATGTAAATAGTGCACCAAACTCCCAATATTGGTCCGATTGAGACACAATTTTGCACAGGGTACTGAATTAAGTCCAAATTGATGTATGCGAAGTTTTGTTGGAATCAGTTGAATGAAGCACCAAACTCCCATCTCATATTCCAAAATTTCGATACTCTATTTGTATTTCATATTATATACATTATTTTTAATTTTTTATTAATTAATATATTATTAACACACACACAAATATTACTACAAAAAGCCCGAATCACCAGCCTTAAAAACAATCAAATATTTGAAAAAAGTTAAAAAATATGTGGACAAACGAACTGCAGATGGTCATCAGCATACCAATGAAGAAACTGATGATAGTGATGGTGAAGATATGGTGGGTGATAATTATCGATCTGAAAAAAATCCTCCCAAATAAAAGCAATAAAATCAAACCCATTTGTAAAGGCTAGAAAATCATGTAATTTTGTGGCCAGAAGAGCTTCTCCTTTACCATACCATGACATAATTATAAGCTTTTCCACAACTTATTGATAAATGTTTTCTCTTATATAAATTTCAATTTTTTATTAATCACCAAAAACAAATTCACAATTTATATTTTTTTATTATATAAATGCATACCACAAAAAAATCATATGCACCCAAAAATGCACACCACTCTCTACAACAAACAGACTGGATCAATGCCTTTTTCGACATGGGTAAAAAAACAAATATAAATTTTCATTCAAAAAACGTTTTATGTTTTGGTAGATTTTGGTATTTTATTTTGATATTTTAAATTTTAATTTTTTATTTACAAAATGTTCACCAAAACCTCAATTAATCGGTTTTACTTGAATTTTATTTAATTTTTAAGGATTTATTATTTAAGTACAACTTTGTTTTTATTGTAGTTATTATTTCATGTTATTATGATTAAATATTTTTATTAAATACCTTATTAAAAAAATTGGAACATAACCTCAAACGAAGTTTTCTTTATTTTATTTAATTTTTTAAGAATTTATTATTTAGGTACATTATTATTTTTATTGCAGTTATTATTTATATTTCTTATTATTAAATATTTTGATTAAATACATATTAAAAAAAAAATTGGAACATAACCTCAAAATAGTTACTATAGTAATATTTTTATTTTTAGCAATATTTTTTTTCAATTTATAACATAATATGAATTATTATATTTATTCACATTAATAATAATTGTTTCTCTCTATCTCCCTCTTCTCTTTTTGCCATCCGCCCCCTAATAGGTTATGAACCAAGACGTTAAAAAGGAAAATCCTCTACAATTCCGTTTCCGTGCTAAATTCTATCCCGAAGATGTTGCCGAAGAATTGATACAAGACATAACCCTACGTCTATTCTATTTACAAGTTAAGAATGCCATATTATCGGATGAAATCTATTGCCCACCCGAAACATCGGTCTTGTTGGCCTCGTACGCTGTCCAAGCGCGCCATGGCGATCACAATAAGAACATTCATGCGCCCGGCTTTTTGGCCAACGATCGTTTGTTGCCTCAGCGTGTCATTGATCAGCACAAAATGACCAAGGAGGAATGGGAACAATCCATTATGACCTGGTGGCAGGAACACCGTGGTATGTTGCGCGAAGATGCCATGATGGAATATTTGAAAATTGCTCAGGATTTGGAAATGTATGGTGTAAATTATTTCGAAATTAAAAATAAGAAGGGCACCGAATTGTGGTTGGGTGTCGATGCCTTGGGCTTGAACATTTACGAACAGGACGATAAGCTGACACCGAAGATCGGTTTCCCATGGTCGGAAATTCGTAACATTTCGTTTTCCGATAAGAAATTCATTATCAAGCCAATTGATAAGAAGGCACCCGACTTTGTATTCTTTGCACCACGCGTGAGGATCAACAAGCGTATATTGGCCCTCTGCATGGGTAATCATGAATTGTATATGCGCCGTCGCAAGCCCGATACCATTGATGTACAACAAATGAAGGCCCAGGCCAGAGAGGAGAAGAATGCCAAACAACAGGAGCGGTAAGTTGGCATACCATTTTAATTGGGGGTATCAAATAAATAAATCAATTTCCCTTTTCAGTGAAAAACTCCAATTGGCCTTGGCTGCCCGCGAACGTGCCGAAAAGAAACAACAAGAATACGAAGATCGTCTCAAGCAAATGCAAGAGGACATGGAACGTTCCCAAAAGGATCTGATGGAAGCCCAAGAAATGATCCGCCGCTTGGAAGAACAATTGAAACAATTGCAGGCATCCAAGGACGAACTGGAATTGCGCCAGAAGGAATTGCAAGCCATGTTGACCCGTTTGGAAGAGGCCAAACATATGGAAGCTGCCGAAAAGGCCAAATTGGAAGAAGAAATTATGGCTAAACAATTGGAAGTACAACGCATCCAAGAAGAGGTCAATCAAAAGGATGAAGAAACCAAACGTCTGCAAGACGAAGTTGAAGAGGCCAGACGTAAACAGGTGAGGCAAATAAAAAAAAAATAGCCAAAAAATATAGGATTTTTATAACCTACATCATCTTGTGGCACAGGGTATAAATGATTTATGCGCCTATATGTGGCATGTAGAAGAAAACAAGTACCCCAGGGAAAGTTTTTTTCTAAAGAACAAAAAATCATCAGTTATTTGATGAAGCGATTTTCTATAGAAAAAAATCCTTAGTCTTTAAAGAAGGTTTTTTCTACAGAAAAGTGAATATATTATCTGAGGAAGGTTTTTTTCTATATGGAAAAAATCCTCAGTTCTCTTTAGAAATTATTTTCTGTTGAAAAGTTGTGTTTCCTATAGAAAACTTGACCTAACTGTCCAGCTAAGTTTTTCTCCAAATTCTCTGTACACGTTGTCTATACAGTTTGTCACATTAGTTAATTGGGATGCATAGAAGCGAGAACCACACAATTTCCACTTTTTATACCCTCCACCATAGTAAGGAGGATATATTATGTTTGTTTTTCCCTTTGTAACTAATCATCGAAATAATCATTTTCGACCCTATAAAGTAAACATATTCTTGATCGGGGTAAAGTTCTATGAAGATTTAAAAAAATGTCCGTCTGCCTGTTGTAATAACTCTGGCCTCTAAACGAATTGAGATAGATCGCCAATGTTTTGCACAGAGTTGTATATTGTCTGCATACAGGTGAAGTTGAAAATGTACTACATCGGTCCACGTTTAGGCATAGCCCCTAATTTTCGACATTTTGGGGATCCTAAGCGCATTTATAAACCGAATTCGCTGTAATTTGGTACACTGAGTTCTTATTGGGTACCAAATCTCTCCACTAAAAATTATAAAGATAGGTCCACTTTTTCGAATAGGTCCCATATAAGGGTACTTCCAATTTTTAGTATTTTGGGATTCTTGAGCGTTTTTCAACCGAAATCGTAGTACATTGGGTTCCTTTTGGGTACCAAATCTCTCCACTAAAAATTATAAAGATAGGTCTACTTTTTCGGATAGGCCCCTATATAAAGGTTACCCAATTTTTTGGTATTTTGGGGTTCTTGAGTGAATTTTTCAGCAGAATTCGCCGTAATTTTTAAAATTCGGTAGGGATAGTCCCATATTATCCCCTTTTTTATATCAAAATAGTTATCATATTTGCTGCACGTTTTAGTTTTGTGCCCATAAACTTTATGGGTCTCTTACGAAGATGGAGGACATAAAAATAGAAAAACATAGAAATATCATTACTTAATGGGGTCTAAAAGGTTATACACTTGGCGATCAAAGCTCTTGACAATAATAAAGAGCGTTTAACTGGGTCACGACTCTCAGATGAGCCATACGTGACCGTGTAAGTCGAGTATTTTTGTCTCACATAAACTGTGGGTATTTTTGTACTACGAAATATTACTCATATCCTGATATTTTAGTAATGTATAAACCGCAAAACAAAGCTATTAGGCCATTGACAAACACTCAATAATAATTAACACACTTTCTTCATTGTGGTACAAATTTAGTTTAATTTTAATTCCCTATGTTTTCATTGAAAACAATAATCGCTGATAAATTGGTATAATTCATTGCACCCCACCCCCCTTAACAATATTAACCTATATTTTTTAATTTCCAGGCTGAAGCTGCTGCCGCTTTATTGGCTGCCTCAACCACTCCACAACATCATCATGTGGCCGAAGATGAAAACGAAAATGAAAATGAAGAAGAGCTCACCAATGGTGATGCTGGCGGTGATGTATCACGCGATTTAGATACCGATGAACATATCAAAGATCCCATTGAGGATAGACGTACATTGGCTGAACGTAATGAACGTTTACATGATCAATTGAAGGTAATTACGAATACGATTTGGAAGAATTTTTTTTAAATTGTTAACTAAATATTTTTTCTTTTTCTATTGTTTTTACCCTTAGGCCTTGAAACAAGATTTGGCCCAGTCACGCGACGATACAAAAGAAACCCCCAACGATAAGATCCATCGTGAAAATGTCCGCCAAGGTCGTGACAAATACAAGACATTACGTGAAATCCGTAAAGGCAATACAAAACGTCGCGTCGACCAATTTGAAAATATGTAAATTATATTTCCCACTTGTTTTTCGTTTTTTCTTTCTCTTAAAAGAAAATCTTTTATTTTTTTGTTAAATTACAAAAACAAATCGTAAAGAAGAGTCCCTAAAGCAAATATCAAACAGTAATCATTCAACATAAAAATAAACAAACAAACAAAACAAAAAATTCCACAAAGAAAGCTTGTTTTTCGGGTATTAGCATTATTTTCTATAACAGCAACTTAGAAAGAGCATTTTTTATTGAATAAATAGCAAGCCATTTATAATTATTTCTTTTTCCAAAAAAAACCTTTTATTATTTCCTTTCAATGTCGCCCCTTCCAAAAAATCCAACAAAACACTACCATGTTTACTTTACTACTATTATTATTATTTCGTTAGATAATAATTATAATTCCTTTTTATTATAAATAATAAATATATAATAATAATAAAACATTATTTTCTTTTGCGTTGATCCCCATGTATATGAATACAAAAATTCTATAAAATTTTTGCATAATTAATTATTCTCCAAACAAAAACAAACATGAATACTAAAAAAGAAAACAAATAATCATTCAAGACCATTCATTAATTTAAAAAAATAAATCTAAAAGAAACAAATAACTAACGTAACGAAATTCAGTACTTTAGCCAACACAATTTTTTTAGTAAAACAAAAGCTTATAAATTATATACAAGAAATATAAAAAAGAAAAGATAAACAAAACAAACATGTCTTCAAAAATGTCGCAAACAAAAACTAAACGCTTATAAGAGAAACAAAAGGAGAAAGAGAAATATATTGAACATATAATAATTATTATTTTATTTTTTTTTTTTTGTTTTTAAAAATAAATATTAAAATGAAACTTTGTTTTGCATTTCCATATTGATTTTGATTTTTGTTTTTTAAGTTTTTTTATATATATATACATATAGTATAAAAACCTAAAAAGCAAAGAATTAAATTAAACTTTATTATTATATATTAAAAGAAAAAAGAAACAACAAACATTTTTAATGAGTAAAAAATTAAAGTTTTTATTTAAAACAATAAAAAACAAACAAACAAAAAAACTTATTTTTGGTTTTATTTTTTCATTTATTTATTTTATTATATTTTGAACAATAACCAATAGAAAAGGGAAATAGTATCATAAAATATTTAATTCTTTTGGGAGAAATATGAATATTTTGGTTATAAATAAATCGTCAATTTCTGAAAAATACAGTTCTGAAATACTCTTCAATACCCAATGATCAATTCTCTGTTGTCTCGTTGATTTGAAGTCAAGATAGTATAAATGGTGTTGATCATTGATGAAATGCTCTTCTGTGTTTACTCAACTGAGAATAGTCATAGTGTGGGCAAGATAAGGCCGGTTTTTGGCCGGCAAGAATCCTAAATGGTCAGTCTCATTGTCAGTTCTTTTCATGAAACCGCAGGAATTTTGTATTATTGCAAGAGTCGTAGGCGTTAGGAACACTTTAATTTGTCCTTCTTTGTCGTTGAGGGATAGGCCCATTTACTATGGGCCTATCTATGAGGTTTCACATTACTAAAAATTATCCTAAAAAATAACAGGGAAAAATATTGGCCCATATGATGAAAAATTATATACATGATTTTTTATAGTAACAATTTATAAAGCATTTTCTTCATTAATCACATCTCCCAATACTAACTAATCTACTATAAAATATCTCAAATCCGTCTTCTAATTATCAGTTAATAAAATGCATAACTAACAACATTAAATAATAAACAAACAAATAGATAGAAACCAAACGAGCTAAACAAAATATTAATTTTTTTATTTTATTAATTTTAATTTGCTTAAAATTCATTCAATATTTTCTAATAATTTAATAAAAAAAACCCCATAGCAACGACATATGAATAAAGTTAGTCAATATATTAATATAAATATATATTTTATTATATACATATAAAATCAAATCGAATGAAAGTAAATAAAAATATATATTTTATAAATTTCAAAAAAAAGGAAAAAACAATAATTGTTTTAATAACGTTTTACATAAGGTAAGCTTTAATTTCTTAATTTTTAATAAAATTCGAATAAAAAATATTTAATTTGAGTATAATTATATAGTCGAGTACGCTAATAACGAACACTGAACACATTTTCAGGTCCCGAAACTTTACGCCATATCTGGCATACAAATATTTACACTGCAACGTGTGGTTCTTCTAGTGCACATGCTGGACATATGTAAGGTGATATTGTGGGCTATATGAATTGGAACGTTTGCACCATTCAAATTTTAATCTGGATGGGTGAAAATATGTAATCGGAATTATGTCAGGCTGGATGATTCTATGGACAATTCTAAGCCACTTTAGTAAAATAACCATAGGTCTATCTCGATTTTCGAGTCTCCCACTTTTCAAAAAATGATTTTTTTTCCCTATAACATCATTTTGATTGGGAGGTTTTTGGGGTCGAGAAATTCATTTTTTACCTATGACCACCGCCAGAGGGCGGTTCATACATACTTTAACTACACTGTGATACAAAACACGCATATTTCCTTTAGAGAATATGCATAGAATCAATACAAAAATGTGTTTTTTTTTATTTTTCTCATTTTCGAAAGCTTATTTAATTATCTTCCCCGTAATATAATAAAACTTATACGGCTTGATGTCATAATTTCTTCGTACAATCCGAAGAAAAATAAATTTTGTCATTTTATGCGTATTTTTTCACATTTCAACCACTGCTACTCAGCCAATCCTCAACCGATTTACCAAGTATATACCTTGTTTGAAAGAAAATATTATACTCTTCGAATGAAAAAAATAATAATATAAATCCGTTAGAAAGAAAAGAAGTTATACGTGTTTCAAAGTGAAAATCTATGAAACAACGTTTTTCTCTACATTTACCGTTATAAAACTAATTTTCGAAGTGACCCAGAAAAACCAAAGGTATATTCGTGGTCCAGGGACTCCAACTAAACAGAATTGGTACATTAGAACCCCTGAAAATTTTTCGTGTGGCACAGTGCTATTTTTCATCTTCATCGAAGAATGTGGTTCCGATAAATCGTACTATAAATATACGAAAAAGTACAAAAAAGTGTATGATTGAATCAATTAAAATTGGGTATAGGAACGCTGTTGAATTATCGGTTATGTTCTGGAACTCACGGTGTGTTCCTTTCACTTCACACATACACTTCACCTCAGAAGTTACCTCCTGTTCTGCATCTCACGTGAATTGAAATTTTCGAACTGCGACAAAAATAAACTCCGACATGGTACTTTGCAAAAACAGTGTTGCCATACAATATAAACTGTATTCGTTTTTAACTTTGTTTCTGTTATTTTTTAGTAATTTCGTAAAATCTAACAATAATTTTTTATTATGTTTTAATATTTTATTATTCGCAACATAAAATATATGTACGAAAGACTCTTTAATATCATTAATTTGTTGATTGATTTAAGGGGAACATTTGGTAACCCTATCTTGTACGATGGTATTGCAAATCAGCTGTTTGTGTCAAGCGAGAGATTCATTCGGAATAAATGCAACACAAACCTATGTATCTATTTAAAATTGGGTTTTAAAGGCGTTTTATCATAATTTTGTGATTTTAAACAAATTATACGCAATAATAAAATATTAATCAATCATCATGTGCCTTTTTTATTTCAAAAGAGATTTTCTTTTATAGTACGTTTACATTTAACCGGATTTCGTTAACCCAGCGGGTTACAATTGTCAATTCCTTTGCATATATGTCAAATAAATCCTCATAAAGTAGGTTAACCCGGTAAAAAGTTAAAATGTGTATGCCGTTTTATATGAAAATGTAAGTGTAAAGAATACACCTCAAATGCGTGTAATAGTACGTTTACATTTAACCGGATTTCGTTAACCCAGTGGGTTTCAATTGTCAATTCCTTTGCATATACGTCAAATAAATCCTCATAAAGTAGGTTAACCCGGTAAAATGTTCTAATGTACAAGGAGTTTAAAGTGTGTTGCAGAACACCTTGGCGTGTGTTCGATACACTTCAGCCGTTGAAGTGAATGCCAGAATATGCCGGTATATGATTCAATTAAACCGATATTTGGATAAGCTGAAAATTTAGCAGTTCAGTGAACTATCGATAAAGTGAACAAACTGACAATAAATTATTGAAAAAATCAATGAATTAGCTGTGATAAGTTGATCGTATCGAAAATATGAACTACCCCGACATTAATTAGGGTAACATTATCAAGAGTTCACTGTATTGGATTATCGAGAGTTCACTGTATTAACATAACAAGCTTCACAAATTTAATAACATCAAGTAAAGACGTCGTTAAGATTTTCCGGTTCGAACTTTTTATACCCTCCACCATTCCAAATTCAGTCGAGTACGCTTATAACGAACACCGATTATAACGAACTATCCCTAAAGACATTTTCTGGTCTCGAAGTTTTTTATCCTACGTTGTTCTTTACGAATGTCTATGTTTTTTTTTTTTGTAGGATGGTTTGACAACCACTTAGAACATTATATTTTAAGAAATAGGTAATCCCTAAATTATCGCATCTTTGTTGACTTGCCATTTGTTCCATAGTCGAACTTAAAAAAGATTTCCAGTTAATCTATTTTTTGAGCAGTTTTTACAATTTTAAAGATCGTGCTTCGTGATATTTTCCTCCACTTCTATCGAATTCGACTTCTGCGTGAACCATCGCTGCAACTCGTTACGTCTGATTATATGGATGTCTATGTACAGATAGTATAGATGATATATTCACCGTTGGCGCAGAACGTAGATCAAACACCCAAAGAGTTGCCTCAAATCAAGGTCAATACTGTTATTGGCCATTAAACTAAATCCTATATAACGTCTTATCTCCTTTTTTGTCTACGGGGCATTGGATGCTCCAATTTTATTGAAAAACGTGCCCGAACTTCTCAAAACACCGAAATTTGGGAGGTTCTCTAATATGGAGGCTACCCTAATATGTAGATCAATAACATCCTTAGGCTACGTTTAGATTACTAAATCCACTCGATCTCCAACGTCACACTATGGGTAAAAAGTATGATTTTT